TCACGGCCTAGGGCCTTATGACTATTTCACCTCTTATTAGCCAAGTGTTCATAACTAGAAGATATCGCTAAAAGACTAGACTAGACTTACCCTGCCTCAATTGGCTGAGCGCTAGTAATAGCAAGGCAGGCGAGGCCGACACCAGAAATAAGCTGAGAAATATGCATGGCGATGGTGATTGTTTGACTGTAAAGTTCGTATTTGAAAGTTTATTACTTTTGAAGTTGTTCAAATTGTAAACGATTGGATTTCAATTATCCTGAAATAGATTCTGCTAAGATTCTGTGGCGTTTTAACGGGAACTAGGCCTGTTACTTGATATATGAAGATGTGACTAGGACATAAGGGACTAATGGTCTTACTCTTAAGTGTTAGGACTTGGGACGATGCGTGCTAGGAAAGTCTGACTGTGTTTCTTAGGCATGATATGACTGTACGCCTCAACATCATGCTGGAGTGAAGTAGTCAGATATTGGGAATCGATTGCTATGACTTTACTCGTTAGTGTTGTGAGTAACAAGAATGTTCCTCTCATTGATGGAGGATAGGAAGGCTAAGGGCCCATGGACGTGTATGTCAGAAGGTAATGATTATCGGGGGACGCTGATCACGTGATTGACATGACATCAAAACTAGGTACTTAACTTAAGCTATGGAGATAATCAATAAACTTCATGTAAGTAATAGTAATAAACATTTATTATGGTAGGCTATTATGCTGCGTACAATCTACTAGGAGCTTGATTATTGGCGCTACCCTCACATGCCTGCCTGCCCCTTGCCTGAACTCACATTCGTCTTGAGTATGACAGAAATGTGCCGACATGATTTCAAAGCATAGGGTATTTTGGGTGTCTAAAGTCACATACTCTGCTGACAGCACTCACCAGGCACATTGGTGCTGACTCACAACGCTACCAAACCGATCACACAGGAACATTACATGAAATGTCAGGCGCTGTGGGTTCGTAATGATCATCCTAGGGTAATGACATTGCTTCGTCTCGTTTCCTCAATGTAGTCATCCTTAGTGCCCGTAACGACCAACTGTAGCGTCCGGCCCGGCGCATGACCAGAAAATGTAAGTGTCTCTCGTTGTTTGACATCAAACACATTGTGCCTACTGCCCTTACCATCCACGAGCCACTGGGCTTTCAACGCAACACCTGGATCCCAACATCCAACGCTGGCTTGCGGCTCAGCGTGTAAATGCCCATCAGACCAATGAGAGGGGTACATGTCAATATGAGGTGGTGACTGGCGGGCAAGTGCTGCTTGACGGCCCCCAAATGCCAAAACATCTTCCCACATATTTCCTCTCGATGTGCCTAGAGTGTACTCATCTGAGAGGGGAGTTTTCCCTCCGGGGGCATGGTCCGCGACCCATTGAAGGAGCAAGTCAAGATACGTCCATTTCGGCAGCAGATTGTACACTCCACCATGTGCCTCTCCCGGGAAAACCGTCACATTGGCCCATTCTGGCCCCCCCTTTTCAGTAACTCGCATGCGGAACTGCTCAACGCCTTTGTCGAGGTAGTAGCTATCCACGCCGCCCACGTAGACATTTATCCTCCCCCGAAGCACTTCTCCCAGGTTGAGTTTGGTACCCCAATTGCGCAGTATATAATGCGTGAGATCCATAGGTTTCCAGAGCTCCACTACATCCGGATATATCTCTCCTGTAACCTTGTCCCAGGCGGCGAGAGGATACCCGTTGAGCCCTTGCACGCCGAATACGGCAAACCAGACATCAGTCTGTAGGGCACTACGCCCAGACGTCCCGAATGTGAGCTCCCAATGATTTTCTTGTTCCATGGTGACCTTGACGCGCTCTACGCCATCATCTTCAACTTTCCGGTTTGATGGTACCGGGAGGCTGTCTCGGACATGAGCATTTGCTTGCTCATATAGATTGTTGTCTTGGTGCTTGTGAAAATCGAGACTATCTGGATACGAAGCGAAACACGCACCGTACAGATCTGGCCGAAATATGACACTGGCAGCGGCCGCCCAGCCCCCGGTAGAACCACCTTCCTGTATCCGCGCATACGGTTGCGCAATCGTGTTGAACATCATGTCCAGATGGGGCACCAGTTCGTCGTTTAGGGCGTCGCCATACGGTCCCAGATTCGGCGAATTCACAGCGTAGGAATCGTCATAGAATGGATTCTCATGGCGAAACATGACAACAATGAGCTTGGGAGTCGGCCGTGCTGGTTTCCCATCCTGAGCTGGAATCGTGCCGCTGTTCCAGGCTTCTGTGAAGGCTGCATCGTGACTCCACCAACTCTCGCCCCCAAGCCAGTGAAACTGAGAGTATACCACGGGATAACGCGTACGCGTATCCGACGCATTGTACCCGGCAGGCAAGAGCACTTTGGCGCCGACATACATGTCTTTGTTCCAGAAGCTGCTCAGAGAGTCGCTTCGAATCTTGACATATTTGAGCAGCTCGGTGTCTTTGTAATTCCCCTGAGAGCAGCCACCAATCTCCGTCCCGTCAAATTCAATGGGCTCGACGGTTGCCTGAAATTGTAGACTGATGGTCTGCGTCCTTCCGCGTCGAATCTCGAATTCGCGTACATCAGTACTGAGGCTCCCACTCCCTCCAAAGGCAGGACTGCCATCCCCACACGGAAACCTGACCGTCACCATAGATCCATCGCTCCGGGTAATCGTTTCGTTATAGATATTAAGGAAGGCCTGAACAAAGTACACGCCTTGGGGAATGTCGTCCAACGCGCGGATGGGCCATCCAAATACTCCAATTTCTATATCGTCGACACTCCCGCCCATAAGTACTACGTCCTGTCCATAGAAGCTGTAGACGTTCTTGCCGAAAAACTGTGTCGTCGTGTGTCTGACATCTGTATTGCGGAGGTCGTCCTTGGTCTTCCCTAGCAAGAGAAGCACCCTGCCTGCTTCCACCGTATTCGATAGTAACCCGGGCGCTGTGCTGATGTGTACTGTGAGCTTCGGACCAAAAGCGACAGCACCCTGCGCCCAGGCGTAACACGCAGCAATGCTGCCAATGCAGAAAAGCACAACCAGTGCGAGTTGTCGATCGCTGAATTTGATCGCCTTTTTCGGTTCATACGATGGCCACCGCCAGCAGCGAGGACGGCGAGAGGTCCAGTGTGAACTCATGTCAAACAACCCCGGCGAGGACGATATGGGGAAAAGGCGCCAGCGTTGATCTTGACCTTTGAAACCCAACAAGAAAACGGAGCTGGAGTAAGGAAAATACCCACTTGAGCGCCTATTCCTGAACCCATGCCCCGATTTTGGTTATCCAGATTTACCGATAAGCGGCCGGCCCATTCCGTTGTGCATGATTTGCTAGTATTACATGGTTGCAAAGCTGACATACGCCGAATTAATCAGCCTTACTCATTTCTGACTAAAGTATGTTTGAGCATCCTCACTGGTACATTTCAACATTCTACTTGTTGCCCAAGCATTTGCTCCTAAGATGCCAACGTTGGGGCTTCTTTATGGAGTATATGCTGGGTCTTTGTAAATTCTATCAGTGTTGCTAGAAAGTAATGCAAATGCGTGTTGCAGTTTGCAAGTTTTGAATTTGAACTATCGAAAAGCTGTACAGTTTGGCCAGTATGTATTGGCCTCTATGAACCCCCTCGCACGAGTATCAAGCAAATGTTGAAAATGCGGTCTCTTCCGGAGCAATATGCTGTGCCTCACATGCTGTGATATCCACCCTTTGTCCTCTAACCAATTCTCATATGCTACGTCTTAGCTGGTAGCGTAAACGGCTTTCATGATGAGTGGGAGGCGATTTCCCCTAGTTCGCGTTCGAAGAATTCGTTCAGGAACTTGTTGATCTGTTGATGCTCTAACAAGAAGCCGTCATGGCCATCGTTGCTGCTGATCGTTTGGAATTGGGCGTTCGGGATTGCAGCTACTAATTCGCGCTGTTCTCGGTACGTAAACAGGCCATCGTTGGGGATTCCGAGAACCAATGTCGGTTGCTGGATCATTTCCAATGCCAATTTGGTCGTGCTGGCGCGATCGCGTGCGACATCGTGGGTGTCGATTTTGCGAGTAATGGCAATGTAGCAGTTTGCATCGAAGCGCTTTACGAACTTTTCGCCCTGGTGGCGTAAATAGGATTGCGCTGCATAGACTGTGTCTGGTTTTGTACTTTCGCTCGACTCGTATTCTCGACTATCGTGGTTACCATTCCGATGGACTCGGGTACGTGACACAATCTGATTCGATCGTGGAGTGCGAAGATTCGCATGCTGTACGCGCTGCTTGTGGTCGATATTACCATTCGCATGTCTGCCGTTGTTCTGTTGTCTGCTAAATCGATCTTCGAAGCTGCTCCAGGAGCGGTATGTTAACATTGCGCTCATCCGTGCTGCCCCAAGCCCGCATACTGGAGGGTCGTCAAAGTCGTAGTAACCATCGTCGTATTTCGAGTCCGAGAAAATGCTTTGTCTCTGTGCCTCGTTCCACCCTAAGCACCAAGCCGACGAGTGCGCACAAGACGCGATTGAGACAATCGTGCGTACGTACTTCTTGCCAAAGTAAGCAAATTCTAGGGCATGCATGCCACCCATACTTCCACCGATAACAGCGGCGATTTGTCGGACTCCAAGGTCGTCTAACAACAATTTGAATAGCTTCACATCATCCCTAATCGTCGTAGCTGGAAAACCCGGCCCGTAGCAGCCTTTGTTGCGGTCGCCATCGACTGCAGTCACCGGACTTGCTGAGCCGTATGGGCTGCCCAAGCAATTGATACATATGACAAAAAACCGGCTTGTGTCAAGCGCTACGCCGCCGCCGCCCACAAGCGGATTCCACCAGGATTCTAAATCGGCACTTCCCGTGAAAGCATGACAGACGAGGATCGCGTTGTTGCGGCCGGGTGTCAATGTTCCGTACGTTTGGTAGGCGACGGGAACATTGAATAGTGTCGTACCGCATTCAAGGGCAAATTCGGGAATAATGGCGATATGCTGATTCAAGACGCACTTGACTAAGGGATTCTCAACCTGATCGCAAGATCTAATGCGTTCTGCCAGCTGTCAGCCGGGGGCACACAGGGCGCAGACTCTGAGAGACAACTTACTATACCGGCGGACGCCCTCTTGGTCAATAGGCCCCAATTTGCGTGTTGCAGCCATGATAGTTCGGCAAAGTCAGGATTTGGATATGACAAGAGTTGACAGCGTTGTCGAGGAAGAACGATGGGATCAACGCTGCTGGAATATTCTTGAGTTCTGCGCGTAGAAGCTGGTGCTTAGATTTGGTGTTGACCTATTACTCGCTCGACCCTGCCATCTGCGAAGCAGATGGTGTGAATCGGAATGTTTATGCTCGTTTGCATGACTGTTGAGACTCGATCTGCACTTCGTCGCATGTCATTGGGCTGACAAGGTTTTTAAGTCAGAGCCTGACTGTACCATACAAATCCGGTTGCTTTTTTCGGACTAGGGCGAGTTACAAAAAATTGCCGTTTATGGCATGGTCTGGGAACACCAGGTTCAAGACGCTGACACTTCAAAGTCGAGGCTATCACCATCCAGACACACAGATAAACGCATTGAGGATCGCCTAGACACGATTTTACACGTCCACAGATTTGCAGATACCGGCCAGTCTTGGTGCTAACGAACTGAAAATGAAAATTTGCGTGGTTACACCTAGCCCAGCTTCGGGTGCTGAAGCAACTGTCCAGGTATGCAATGACACACCATATATGCGCAGTCTAGTCGGAAACATATTGACATTTTGCAGCCAGACCTCGCGAGCTATATCGATCAAGAAGTGCACTCAGTGCAGAAAAGGCAGATTAGGAAAGAGCATGCTATCGAAGATATAGACGAGCTCGAGATCGGGAACTTTGATGTTTTCATTAACTATCTGGTAAGACGGCGACGTATTCAGCTCTTAATTTGCAGACTAATGATTGTTTTGTTCATTTCATGCAGCAACCCATCGATCATGAGTGGATTAAAGCACTCAAGTATCTGAATTCGAAATATCTGTTTGGTATCGGTAGACTGCCGGACAGTGCGCTGGACCTGTACGCAGCAAATCTGGAGAGGGCACAAACCTCCGACTCCCAGGGCGATGAGCAGCCCCCACCGACTGCATTGTTACTACCAAATCAGGCTCAAGAACTCCAGGATGGCGATTATTCCATTCTGGTCGTGCTGTTTGGGCGAACCGCCTCCGCGTTAACACCCTTGAAATACCAAGCAGCAGTCAAAGACGGTCAAGAAGCCACGTGGGTTCTTGCACCCGAGTCAGACTTGAGCCGCCGACTGCAAGAAACTGCCGTGTCTGCATTTGAGCAGGTCCGCGGTACCGAGTACCTGGGATATTTGACAGTTAATATTCGCGTGGCCGAGGCTTCAGATACCCCCATTGTCACCAACGTGGATCCTACAACGCGCTTCTTCTATCCTCAGGGTGTGACTCCATGGGATTCGTTAGTTATCGCGAAGACCCTACCTGGTGGTCATGCAGCCTTTTTCGAAACCCTCCTATCTACCAGACTTGCCAAGGTCCCACATTATGTCATGCGAAATGAGGGCTGTGCGAGGCAGCATGATAGGCTTGCTCGTCTTTACTACACCATTCTCGACTCCACCAACGTCACGGATAACCGGTTGAGTCCATTCGTTGGCAAGTACGACTATAACGGAACCGTTCTAGATTGTTGTTCGGGAAGCGGGGAATTTGCTCGGTTTGCCATTGACCATGGGGTCAAAGCGAAATACTCCGCCCTCGACTATTCGGTCGAAATGACCAAGCTCCCTTTCTCCAAGACACTATACGAGCAGCCTTTCATCCTTGGGCCTGTTCAAGAAGTTCTTGCCAGTGCCCCCATGCACGATCATGTCGTGTGTTTCGGCTCGATGCATCTGTTGCAACCTTTTGACTTTATCTCGACCATCAGTCAGATGTTTTTGCGGGCCAAGAAATCCGTCACCTTCGACGTTGATGATTTGTCAGACACATATATCAACAACTTCCCGGATGCCAGTAGCGAGAAGTGCTGGGAGAAGCTCGAGTATAACCACAACCATACAGCGCGGATCTTTCGCTTTGGGACACCGGTTGGCTGGAAGGCGGTCATGTACGGCGAGAGACGCTTTGCGTATAAATCGCTGGTGATGAAGGAAGACGTGTACACTCATTCATTCCGGTTCGAGCGGATAGAGTGAGCGATTTGGCTCATCTCCCTATTGCCTCAACTAGGAGCATTAGTTGCAAAGATCACAATTGTCATCCGAGCTCTGGCGCTAAGATGAGTTCATAGATGAGTTCGGCTATATACTGTATTTAGTTAGTAAGTGCCATAGTTTAGCCAATATAAAACGTTACTCAAAATCACGCCTACTCAATAATAAAGCTTCCAACCACCAATTGAATATTATTCTTATAATATTCCATATTATACTACCATAGTACTTCTAACTATGACTAGACCTTCTAATCTCCGTTTGCTATATAGCGCATCAGATTAATCATCTAAGAAAAGAATAACACGCCACACTCCAGTCGGAATCGCGTATTAGAAACAGTACTTGCTAGTCAAAGTAAAAGAACTTAGGTGAGCTTATACTCTTTACATATTCAGTGTATGTTTATACTTTGGTTTTAAACATTAATAGATCTTACGAGGAGGTGACGACATGACACGAGCCAGGTCATGGATGGCTCAACAGAATTCTCTCGCAGCCCTCAATAATATCCAGGGTATGTTCAACCTTTTGTTCGTTGCAGTAGCAATGGACGTCAGCGCGTGGTTACTCTGTTGGTGCATTCTTTAATAAATTACGACTCAGAAACGATGGTTTTATTGTTCCTGCCCTTGTAGCCGTTGACTATTCGCTCATGGCGTTGACACTTCACCTTCTTCAACAATATAGCCCCAAGGATGTTCTATCTCGCCGTGCATGATTGCCCAAAGTCTTTCCCTCAACCTCTCGACAAGATTTAATGATCCGCCCCGTTCATCTCCAACAGGTATTACAACCGCTTTCCCTTCGTAACTGATCTCTCCTACTGGGGTGATAAAGAAAGCTGTGCCACAGACGAAGCATTCCACCAATCTATCATCCTTGGCAGCATCTATCAACTCACGGATCGAAAAATTACGCTCCACGACGTCAATATCGTCCGCAAGCGTTTCACTGACGGTTTCGAGAACGCTGGTGCGTGTCACTCCTGGCAGCACAACACCGTTCCCCAAAGGTGCGGTCAGCAATTGCGTTTTACCCAGGCCGCCCTTGGGCTTGATCAAGGCGAAGAAGTTGCAAGCACCCGCCTCCGTCACCCATTCCTCGCCTCCAAGAAGCCACAAAATCTGATCAAAGCCTTGCTGCGCAGCTGCAGCGCTCGCAATAATTGAGGGACCGTAGTTGGCGCCCACTTTGCAATTTCCAAAGCCGCCCGGCCATGCTCGAACCATATCTTTACTCGACGCAAGGAGTCGCAGACCGGGTCGTCGCACCTTTCCGCCTTGTGGAGGTCCCAAGCTGCCAGTCGGGTTATCGAAGTCGGGAAAGCACACTAGCATAATATATAGAAGCGCTTCACTAGCTTTCTTGATGGCCAACGACGGTTGAGTCGCAATCATTGTTGGCCGTATGTATAGATACGTGCCAGGTCGGTCCTTTGGTAGCCACCGCGGCGCGTCAACGGCGGCGAGTGCGGCAATCAACTTGACCAGTTGCTCAGCTGGGAAATCCGGGAGAGATACTCGTGCAGCAGATTGGCGCATGCGATTTGCGTTGTGCTCGGGTCGGAAAAGCCGAATGCGGCCGTCTACGCCCCGGTATAGCTTCATTCCCTCGAAACACTCTGTGGCGTAATGGAGCACTGCGGCTGTTGGCATAAGCGAGATAGGCCCATAAGGCACTAGCTCTGGTGCAGCCCATCCTCCATTTGTCGGGTTGTAACGTGCCAGAATCATGTGGTCTGTTGCTTCGCCTTGGGCCCAGAGCTCCGGTGAATCGGGTGCAGGTATAGGTCTTGGGGAGAGGGTGAGCTCATGGGTTAAACGAGCGGCATCTAGGACGCCTCTGCTTCCGCCATCTCTTTGCGAAGCTCCATTTGTTTGGGGTGAATGAGCGGCTCCGGTCATGATCGCAAGCGAAGCCTGTTTCTGTCTTCTTGTTTGATTCTTGGAGCTGTGATTGAGGGATAGATCTGCTTGCTTGTTGAAGAACGCTCTCTGGTTTTTATTCTTTTCGCGACCACATTGCTGATGCCAAATTGAAATTCTAGCACGGAATCACCTCGGCACAGGTCAGAAAATAGACATGGTTGACGCAAGATTCCTTCCAAAGTCAAGACGATGTCAGACCATGACCACACTAAGTTGCCACCCATGCATGGGGCAACGACTATTGTTGGCAGTACGGACAGAAAACTGGATCTTACTTCAGCCTAGCTCAAGATCTCACTGTGCTTTTGCATTATAGCAATGGGATAGCCGAAGAGGTCAAAGTCCTCCACTACTGTCAACAACAAGTAATATAGGATTGCTCGTCATTCTACGGGTTTGTTACGAAGCTCTTGACACATCTGTATCAAAGCTTCTCCGGACTTTAGACATAATGTACAGTATTAGCCTGCTTTAGGAGTCAGAAAATGTCACTGTCTGACTGTGCCATGACATTACCCTGACTGTTAGTGCTGCACTTCTGACTACACGTATATTGTCCCAAGGGTGCCATGTCAGGAGCGATGGGGCAAGGTCTCGGATTCCGCAACATGGTGAGCCATGACCTTACGAGATTGAGAAGAAGGACAATAGCATTAGGAGCACTTGGGATAGGAATCGCATAAATTGTTGTGCAGTATGGCCATGTGTGAACGAACAAAGCCGTTCTACAACACTTCGACCTTATCCATCGCAACTGCGCCTGAAGGCACCCTAAGTCCTCGTCCAAAGCTATAGGGTTCTGCGAAATCCGCAAGAACTCCGTAATACTTCCTCATGGGGCCCCCTAGGACGCGAAGCTTTAGGTTTATGCTCGTGGGTATGTTAATTGCGAGAACCTAAACCATATGACAGCCCTTGACCAGGAACAGGAATCGGCCCACACGCGAAGCGAACCTACGTCAAGCACTTTCGAAGCCTCAAAGCCGAGGGAAGAGGAGAGATCGTTGCTGCAGTCGACATCATAAGCCAAAGGTCGTCCCTGGAGCCTTATGCGGCAGAGCATCTACCAGATACTCAACTAATATTTGTGCCACAATTCAGGGGCCGGATGCCCCCAACTGTTACCGAAGCGCTTACAAGAGTAGCACGGTCGCTTGGTGTAGACTGTATCATCGTGTCGACGGAACCAGAATGTCATAAACCATACGGTCTGTGGGCTGTGAGCTTAGGGCTCCACGTTATCATGGACAAGCCTATATCCACTCGAAGACAAGCTTCCAACGATCCTGAAGAAGCTGCTGGGATCGCCGATGACTACAATGAACTTTTAGAAGCCTACACGGAGCTACAAAAGCACAAAGAAACAATGTTTCTTATCAACAGCCATCGACGGTACCACCCTGGCTTTCTCGGTACGAGGGATTTTATCACAGATATACGGAACAAGACGAACTGCCCTGTTACAAGCCTAATCTCGACCCATTGCGATGGCCAGTGGCGATTGCCGGATGAAATTGTCGATCAGCATTACCACCCTTTCCGCTACGGCTATGGCAAGATATCTCACAGCGGCTATCACTTCTTAGACACCTGCTACAAGTTTTTCGAGGCAGGATGGAGTGCGGGAAAGAGACCTGACCAGATTGAAATGGTTACTACCTTCAGTCGTCCCAATGATTTCATGTACTCATTGAGTCACGAGGAACACGGTCAGGCGCTCGGTCGTGATGAATACAATAAGCACGCCAAGTACAGCGCAGACGAACTTCGAGAACATATGCAATCCATGGGAGAGGTTGATGCGATGATCCAAATCACCTTTAGAAGTCGCGGCAATGTGCTCGGAATGGCGCAATTGAATCTCCTCCACACCGGATTTTCTCGCCGTGATTGGATCGACCAAGGGGCGAACCCAGATCTATACAAGGGTTGCGGGAGAGTAAAGCACGAAGCCCATGAGGTCAGAAGTGGGCCATTCCAAACAATCGTGATTGACTCACGCCAGGCAAATGACAAACATGACCGCAGCAAACCCAGCACTGCCGAACTAGGGAGCGACAATCACTTCGAAGTCCAGACATGGCGTAATTGCGGTGTACTAGGCGAAGACGAACCTCTCAAGACTTACACAATCGACGATCTAGACAAGCGTTTCAACACCAAGGCGACTGGTATTTACATGGAAAACATCAAGCAAGGTATTTTGTGGGAGGCGCTGAACTTCCTCGAGGGCAGTATACCTATTGATGCACTTACATCAAATTTGCCGGATCACAGCATACCTGCCACTATGATGAGCGCAGCCTACATGTCACACATCCGTCGCTCTCGAGGTTTAAATCCCATAACACATATTAATATAACGTATACGAATGGTAAGGGCACATGGCACAAATATGGTTAGGACTCTGCTGACTGTAGCTACGTTCAGAAACCGCACGCGCGACAATTCGGTGCGAGGATCTCGATGTCTCAGTACCTTGCTCACAAGCCACTCCATCGTTAACACCGACATCTGCTCGTTCGGAGGATGGCGAAACAGCAATCTGCTCATCTTGCAGTGGTGCGCTAAAGTCGCCGCCCGAGGCTTTGCTGAGCCGGGAATCCACCTGTTGGGTGCCAATGACCAAGCTGTTGAAGCCAACAATATAAAGAGATACCGGGAAGTTATCGTGATATCGCTTTGTAGATAAATTTGATAACGTAAGAGGACTGCTAGGCTTTCTCTTGTTTTTTTTTGCAAGCACACAGATGGTGATGTCTATTTGTAGGCCGGTATCATGAGCTAAAAAACAATTTTGCATCGAACTTCATGGAATAAATAGGAATTTAACAGGCTTCTACCCAATTTCGAATTTTAGTCACTCAATCACGCGTGAGATCTGACTACTATTCATTGTGCAGGACTTGCTACGCTCGTGAGGTATCAATTCAAACTCTGCTATCCAAATTATTGCATGACACGGCATTAGTATGTCCTACGTCTATGCCAGTGAGTGGCGTGAATCGTTGACCAAGCGGCTATCCGGGTCCCAGCTGCAGTGCATCTGCGGTTATGCGCATTCGGGCTTTTCTCGAATCAACTGTACTATGCCCAAGAGGTACAGACGAAGACTTTGTAGAGATGCTAAAGGAGTCGGTAGCCGCGGAAAAACCTGCCGACGAAGATGAAACAGGAGAAGATGGCGAGGATGTCAAGTCTGTGGCAGTTGACGAAAGCTTATTTTAAGAACGTCTCTGTATCACGAAATCATGTTGCTATACATATCTAGAGTGTTGTACGCGTTTCACCGATACGCTACTACCGCGCTGATCAAGGATCATTCCAGATACTCCCCTAGACCACTCGAGAGAGTTGTTTACCTATGAGCCTTTCATTAATCATTTCTGGGTCGAAATTCTCGTCACGACATCTAAAATACCACTGTCTAGACGTGCCAGATCCCACTTTTCACCGTATAGTCGTCTGAGGATCTGTAAACTGGACGATGTTATACAATATTGCTATGCTACTAGGCGGAGGCGCGCTTGGATTGGATATATCGTGGCCTCAACCACTGCCCGTTAACACAGGAGTGATTTATTTGGCGCATAGGAGATTCAGTATCTGGGAACGAAACTTCGTATATAACTTGATAGGGCGTCTGAGGCCATTGATGAACGATCAGATAGAGATATCTATTTGCTACAGTTGTCGTAGCCTTCAGGCGGCCTAGATGTAGGAGGGAGTCGATGGCATTATAGTCTTTCTATCATCCTACTACGAGGCACACAGCGAGGCCTAGTAAACAGGTAGTCCGTGAATTACATAGGTAGTAACTTCGAAATGATTACCGATCACTTTGGCGTTGCCACGCAATGGAATGAAGAAGTGGACAAGGACGCTGCACCGATAACCGTGAGGCTGGAAGTGCCTTTAGAAAACTTTGGGAATTGAGTAAATTAACTGAAGCTACGTGAGATACGTAGCATTCGCAACGGACTTATTGCTTAGACAAAGCGGCTGCTATATACACATCGTCGAAATAAGACATATGCCAGCCCAACCACGTTACCCGCTCTTCCCATCTTGATTGATTATGGTCACAGAAGCTGGGGCGGCTCAGCCAACGCTTTCCAAAATTTCTTGATGAATGAAGTGATTGCCTGACCACCTGCAAGACTTTAAACGTCGGGAGGTATGAGAGTTCACGATTGATGTGCTAAAGTCACGACGCTCATGCGCTCCGAGGCGCTTATTCACCAGATGTCTCATATTAGCTACTTGAGATATGGCAAGAATGGCAGTGACAGAAATGAAAGAATCTATAGAGTGAACTTCGGAAAATTCTTCTCCCTGTAAACTTCGCTGGTCAACCAGGCCTGGGGCAAAATGCCTCATGAGGCTGCACACGTCTTGATAGATTTGAAACCTGTATTCATCACGCTTGTTTAGAGTCAGTGCCACATTCTATCTCAATTCGCAATAAAATATCATAATTATATTCTTTCTTTTACTTTTAACTTTACTATTAGGGTGTGTGTGTTACGAAAATGGTATTTCTATAGAAAAGTAGTGATCAATAGCTTTAAGCAAAAAAGGTTTTAGTTTATTATTTATCTTAGTAAGATGCGCTGAGTAGAGTCTCGCAAAATTTATCCACTAGGTGCACGGTAATACTACTATAACTCGCTGTTGGAAGTCTGACTAAGGCTCTATACCTAGATAGGCATTAGGAACGTAGCTGTAAAACGCGCGACAGAACAGGCCATGAGTCAACGACGAAGCACTATCAGGTCAGCCTCGGGCGACATATGCCTTGAGTACTGAGTCAGGCACTGAGCAGTTGCCTAACATCTTCTTACAGGGCACACTTCCGATCAACCAGCCTTTTAGAAGGATGTGAAGCCGCGTAAATAGTCATTAAGCGTCATCTTCTCTCACCTTCTAAGTATTCATATTTCTGGTACTTTGATTCTACAGCCATCAAGCACAGGAACAAAATAAAATACATCATTCGCAATGGGTTGGTTACTTGAAGGAGAAGCGCCAAAAGCGACCCCGCTAGGCGGAGGACCCTACTCTCGGCTCAAAGAGCCTATGAAATTGTCTAACGCCCTTGACGGGGTTGAGTATAATGATATCACATCTCTTCTGGGTCGAGAATATCCAAAAGCTAGTCTTACCGAATGGATGAACGCTCCAAATAGCGATGAGCTCATCCGGGACTTGGCCATAACTGGTAAGTGGAGCCACTAGCCAAAGACGATATGCAGTACAAGCACTAACACCCCCGGGCAGTCTCACAGCGTGGAGTTGTCGTATTTCGAGCCCAGGACGGCGTAGACAATGAAATGCTGAAAAAGATAGCCCTTCGGCTTGGCGAGCTGACTGGGCGACCAGAAGAGTGTGGGCTTCACATCCACCCAGTCTTCAACAGCGCGAGGGAGGGTCTGGAGGAAGACAACCAGATTAATTGCGTCAGCTCCGACGACCGCAAGAAGCTGTACAACAGCAAGAAAGCCCAATCACACAATAACTGGCACTCAGATGTCGGCTTTGAGGCCGTCCCAGGCGATTATTCCGTCTTTATTGTGCCAGAAATTCCGGAGACTGGAGGAGGTATGTATATTAAGTGTTTCCGGATTTTCGTTCGAAGCTTGCAGGCTAACGCTGAGTGCATAGACACCATGTTTGCATCCGGATGCGAGGTGAGTTGACACAAGGCGATCTGCTGACCGCAAAACTAACACCAATGTCTCAGCTTTACGATCGTCTCTCGAAGCCCATGCAGCAGTTCGTTGAGAGCCTCACGATCATCAACGGAAGCCCGGTACGTGCGCATGGCACATTCTATTTATAAGGCATGTTTTGTCTTGCGAGTCTGCTAACATGTTGAAACCAGTCATTGGAGGATGCCGTGCAAGCAAACAACCCTAATCTGTACGCCAAAGACCGTGGCTGCCCTCAAAACTCCGGGCTTCACTTCCGCCACGAACAGCCCTTTGTGCGAACGAATCCGGTGACGGGATGGAAGTCGATTTATGCCCTGGGCCAGAACACTATATCGATCAAGGATCTTGCACAAGAAGAGAGTCAAATGCTGCTTGACTGGGTAATCAGCATTCTGTACAAAAACCATGATACGACGGTCAGGATCAAATACCTTAATCGCAACGATCTCGGTAAGTCGCATCTGAAATGAAGAAGCGGCGGACAATGCATGAATGATTGATTCTGGTGCTAAGTCGTGTTACAGTTATCTGGGACAACCGGAGCACATTCCATTGTGTGACATGGGATTATGATCATCTTGGACCTCGTAAAGGGAAGAGGGCATTGGGTATCGGCGAGAAGCCGTATTTCGATCCAAATTCGAAATCGCGTACGGAAGACCTTGGTTATTGAAGACTTTGATTCGGATGTATCCAATATTATTGTAGAGAAAAACCAAGTAATTGTGCATCGAATGTAACGTGTCTTATTATAATTATCTGCCCACCCTACCAAGCTTGACCGAACCTTTTAGCCGATAGCGCCATAACAGTACAACTGATTAAGCTAGAAATTGAGATGAATATTCTTCAGCTACTAGTATATTGATGCCTATCGTAAACTTGAGTATAGCACTTCGAAGACGTTCGTGGTGCGCGCTGACGATTCGCCTTCATCTGAGCCACCTCGTAATTGATAACATTTAATCCTGCGATTAGCTACTGGCCTGCCTGGACCTCTAGAGCTTCTCTGTAAGCGATGTATCTGCGGTGTACATTCTGCTTCTGTCTACCGTACTAAGACGCAACTCGTAGCCGCTACTGCGTAAGCCTGAGGCAAGGGGGTAGTAAGCCCTAGGAGGGGTATACGGCCAGTAGGCGTACTTAGAGCTTCACAGTCCATCATCAATTCCTGTTTAGATATCCGGTGATTTGGTGGTCAATCAACCTGTTTCATTGAATCATCAGCACGTCAATCAATCAGTCAAGCACGTCAAACATCAATCAAGTAAGCAACGCATTGTTAAGCAAAGGTCGATAGTTGATTGAGGCGAATCCTGCTGTAGGACTACGTAAACACACTCGCATTAGTGCGCCGAGCTGCGAGTCTAGCTCGAAGGGGCGACGGATAATCTTGAATCAGCATGATACGTGGCTCACCTGCATTAGCTATGGATGATCGACTTCCGTAGTCGCTTAAGGCGGGTAAGGCTTACTTATTCGGACAAACCCCGCTTTAGCGGTCCCGGGCGGGGGTGGACGGTGGGCAACTCTGACTGTTAACATGTGCTGGACAGTCAGCCGCGAAATGACCGGATCTGGGGTACTTAGCTGATGACCTTTGCGCGGAGCATCTGACTGCTATTAGACGAATATAGCTTAGCTCCGACAACTCTGCATGTCAAGGAGGTGGTGTCTTATTTCTGACTGTCCCGCTTACAGTTGCAGCTCCTGGGTATAGCATTCGCGCATTTAGGGGATGAGAAGTAGAGCAGAGTTAGGCTGAGATGTTCGTTGTAGGTACCTCTGCACCATGCCTCGAAGTTCGCAAAAATACCCAATCGACAGTGATGATGATGAGAACACGCCACTACATCTCGCGGACAAGAATGAAGACGAGTACATCCCGTTGCGTCCCATGAGCGAGGACGATGACGAGAGTCCCGCCGCTTCACTAGGGCCGGACGCCGTTGGTGATGGACAACGTGTCGCGCTCAGCAAGCAAACGAGGGCCATTCTTGATCGTCAACTTAATGGAATCCCATCTACGCGCAATCACCAGGAGTTTTCTCTATGGCCATATGCCACAAAACGGGACAAAATGGCCATCTTGGTGAGCTCAATGGCTGGTCTTGTTGCAGGAGCTGCGAACCCATTCATATCTGTTCGTCCACTCCTCTCTCAATCATCCCCATTTCCAACAAAGAAAAGTTACAGAAAGACTGACCTTTCAATCGATAGCTACTTTTTGGCGAATTGACGGGCGTTTTTGTCGGTTTCGCGGATGGATCGATATCACCAGGAGAACTGCTTAGCCGGACCGATCACTTTGCGTGGTATTTTGTATATCTTGCAGGCGTTGAATTCGTCTCATCCTACATTTGCACAGTAGGATTCTACTGGTCTGGCGAGCGGATTGTGCGTCGACTGCGGAGGACCTATCTCGAGGCAATCGTGCGCCAGAACATCAGCTTTTTCGACACTGTCAGCATCGGCCAGCTCACAACTCACATTACCTCGGACATGATCGAAGTGCAGGAGGCACTGACGAGTAAATCGGCTCTTGCTCTCACTGCGGCGGCCAACTTTCTATCCGCATTCGCCATTGCCTTCATCATGAACCCGCGGCTGGCTTTGATCCTTTGTAGCATTCTGGTCGCCATGATCTTGGTGACTATGAGCACCTCGCGCTTTGCGGTCAAAAACTCCAAAATATCCAAGAACTTTTACTCTATCGGCTCCAACGTTGCGTATGAAGCAATCTTGAATATCAGACACGTCGTGTCTTCCAACAGTCAAAATCAATTGGCTGAAAAGTACGACAAGTTCATTCGTGGCGCGGAGAAATACGGCATCAAGTCTCGCGCCTACATGGCAGTGGCATTTGGCTGGTCGAGCGGCATGCCTAACTGGGCGTATGCGCTAGGATTTTGGGCTGGCGCAAAGTACTTCTTGAGCAGAGGAGATTCTGACGTGGCATCTGTAGTTGCCACGACGATCACAGTGGTTAACGGTGCTTTTGCCATGCTTCGTGTCATTCCTCTTCTAGAAGGTTTCGTGGCCAGTATGAGCAGTCTCAGTGCCACCTTTAAGATTATCCATAGGCGGTCTGCGATAGATCCATTTGCGAGCACCGGTCTCATTCCCGATAGGCTGACAGGGAACATCGAGCTCGAGAATGTAGAGGTCGTCTACCCTTCTCGAAGGGAGACCAAGGCATTAAAGGGCGTTAGTATTTCCATACCAGCTAGCAAGACTACTGCCTTGGTTGGTCTTTCTGGGTGTGGTAAAAGTACCATCCTGGGCCTACTGGAGAGGTTTTACGAGCCTACAGCGGGATCGATACGCGTCGACGGTGTTGACCTGGCCGATCTGAACCTGTATTGGTGGCGAAAGCAAATGGCCTATGTTGGGCAGGAACCGACGTTGTTTAACGCGACAATCTTCGAAAACATTCGCCACGGCTTGATTAGCTCTGAAACAGTGTCCACCAATGGTGGGGACGACCGAGAGCGTGTGATTGCAGCTGCGAAAGCGGCATACGCACATGACTTCATCATGGCACTGCCTCGAGGTTACGATACCGAACTCCGCGAGAAAGGTCACTCATTATCCGGTGGACAGCGTCAGCGCATAGCCATCGCTCGTGCGATTGTCTCAGACCCAAAGATACTTTTGCTCGATGAAGCCACAGCTGCCCTTGACACACACTCGGAGAAGGTGATTCAAAAAGCTTTGGAGTCTGCCTCTCGGACCAGGACGACAATCGTCATTGCACATCGCCTCTCTACAATACGAAATGCAGACAACATCGTCGTGATGCAGGCTGGAGAGGTCGTCGAGCAAGGGAACCACGATCAACTGCTCACACAGCGTGGACTTTATGCAGAACTCATCCACAAGCATCAACTGAGAACCAAAACGACAGAACCTCACACTAATGTCCGAGCTTACAGCGAAAAGACGGAAGATGATAGCAGCGACGACCTCGACCTCAACGACGTAGAGCTGCAGGAACTTGTGAAAAACCGTGTAGACTCCACCCGAGCCACGAGCAGCTCAGACAAGCATCTTGCAAAGCAGAACAGTATACCATCAGTCTGGCGTGCTCTATGGATGATCCTACAACTGAACTGGCCAGAGCGATGGTACCTCTGCGGCGGAATCATCACTTCCCTACTAGCCAGCGCCAATCTAATCATACCAGCAATCTGGTATGCAAACACGCTGAATGCATTCTCCATCACAAACGTCCACGAAATGATGCGAACCACGAATTTCTGGACATCGATATTTGCGATTACAGGCATTTATGGCTTCATCGTCGGCATACTCAACGGTGTCTTCTTCGCAGTTTCGACGGAGCGACTCGCCCGCCGGGTTCGCGATGCAACGTTGCGAGCCATTCTTCGTCAGAACATCGGGTACTTTGACGACAAGGCGCATGATCTCATGCGCATGGCATCGAGACTGAGCAGCAGTGCGACTGATCTGATGGGCTTGAGTGGGATTGTCATTGGCAGTATTGTTACTTTTTCCTCGACCATTGCTCTGGCTCTGGGCGTAGGCCTGGGCGTCGCGTGGAAGCTGTCACTCTTCTGTCTTCCGCTCGTGCCCATTCTTGCGGGATTGGGTTGGGTCCGGCTCAAGGTCATCATGGTGTTCGACGGCAAGATCCGCCAGGCAGGCGAGGAAGCAGCTGCCTACGCGGGTGAAGTCGTGGGTGCAATACGGGTTGTCGCCTCTGCCGGCTTGGAGAGGTATGTGCTCGGCAGATATAGCACGATTCTGGCGGCGCAAGCGGCCCAATCCCTAGGACCTATCCTTCGTACCTCTGCACTGTATGCAGCATCTCAGGGCATCAATTTCCTGGCCTCTGCATTGGCGTTTTGGTATGGAAGTTTCTTGCTCGCCCGAGGAGAATACACTTTGACGCAGTACTACATATGCCTTATTGCTCTAGTCTGGGGCGCTGCAGTAGCCGGCGCGCTGTTCAACTTTGCTCCAAATATGAGCAAGGCAGCACTTGCTGCTCATGAGCTGAAGCAGCTGTTTGAACGGACGCCAGAGATAGACTCGTGGTCCCAGCGAGGAAAGCGAGTATCGCGTGAGGACAACGAGGGCCACGTCGCATTCGAAAATGTATCCATGGCGTACCCTTCCAGTCCACAAACCATGGTTCTGCGCCATATCAACCTCGAAATCCCCGTGGGAAAGTTTGTTGCCATTGTAGGTGGCAGCGGCAGTGGGAAAAGCACAGCGCTGTCACTCCTCGAGCGATTCTACAACCCTACGTCCGGCCGCATCACATTGGATGGCCAGGATATCCGCGATCTCCACCTGAACAGCTACCGCCAGATGATCTCACTCGTGAGCCAAGAACCCGCCGTCTTCTCCGGCACAATCCGCGAAAACCTAATGATCGGCCAAGATACCTTCGAGCACATCAGCGAAGCGCGACTGCACGCCAGCTGCCGCGCTGCCAACATCCACAACTTCATCACTTCCCTCCCCGAGGGCTACGATACCCAAGTCGGATCGGGCGGCAGCATGCTTTCTGGCGGCCAAAAGCAGCGGCTCACCATTGCTCGCGCCTTCTTGCGCGACAGCCCCATTCTGCTGCTGGACGAGGCCACGTCGGCGCTGGACAATAGTAGCGAGAAGCTCGTTCTGACTGCGTTAGAAGCGACGCGTCAAGGGCGCACCACGGTGGCTATTGCTCACCGGCTGGCGACTGTCCAGCATGCGGATATCATTTATGTCTTGGACAAGGGGAGGTTGGTCGAGCAGGGTGATCATAACGCCCTGCTACGGATGCAAGGCGTTTATTATTCCTTAGTGAAATCGCAAGGGCTTTAGTTGTCGAATAAGTAATTGGTTTTTTCATTGATTAGTCGAGGAGGACGGCAGGACACCGTATACGTGCATCCACAATTCTGGCCACGGTGCTAACGCGATCGCCTGCTCGTGTTAGTAAGTAAGCTAGGGAGATGTTGCAGGCGGTTGTTATCTGTCCCATATGCGAGGATGGACTCGATCTTCGACTTCTCGGCTGCTTGAGCTCGGCGATGGGTCGGGCGGTGAATGCAGAGAGCATCTTGGCTATTGTATCGATTGCAACTTCATTTGACCGGTTGTCGTCATCGTCGTAGAGCCCTACGTACGTAGAGATTTGGCCAGGACCTGGCCATGTGCAGTTACAACTTGCACTTACTTATCTAAGTATGATGTATTGGAGCAAAGACGTTTAGAAGAATGCGTTTCAAGTATTTTGCGTAGAGCTCTAACATATACTAGCTTCTTTAGAAAACAAAAAGTTGAGAAGCTTGTAGATGTTTATATTACTAGAGTTGGATGTACTAATGGCTAGTCTAGTACAGTATTTTGTATTCATTAGTGAACGGACACGATTCGTCATCCTTCAGAGCCTGCTCTGTAGTCATTTGCCGAAATGCGTCTGAAGCTCTTTCAGGACCCAGGCTGGAATTCCTTCTCTCCCTACTTTGTCACAGACCTCGTCCGTGATCTTGATGACAATTCCATCTTTTACTCCCACACTCTTGGCAAACTCACTGTAAATCTTGCGAGACTCGGTCGCTTCTTCCCCCGAATATCCACGACCAATCACAACGGCCCGTGGTGCCGGCTCGAGAATGCGAAGTGCGAGGGAAAAATCATCCGCGGAGAATGGGTCCGACTCGAGGATGCCAGCAATCACGTATCCGTGCGACTTCACGTAGTCGTGAATGGTGCGTACGACGGCGCGATTTTGACTGATAGATAAGATGGAGATGGGCTGTGCCATTTGGGGATGTTTCTGAACAAGAGTAAGAGTATGCAGGCTTGCATGTTGACAACTTCACGTACGGCTGGTGCGATAAGCAGCCAACAGAAGACAAAGGGAGCGACAGTACCGACGAAGAGAAAGGCAGATCGGACTGCACTATTAGGCTTTTCTTCAGGCGTTGGCATGAACACAGACGAGAAGCGAAAACGTGGGCGTAGAGCGAAACGAGGGCGCCAGGGACCATGGAATTTATATTGAGTGCGTTAGCTGGTGCCTTCTGTAACGCGCGGTACAGGGCGGTTGTGAAAGCCTTTCTCCGTATCACCTAGGTAGTACGTATTTGACTACGGGAACGTCCGGTGAACAACACGGGATATGGGTGTCATGATCGAACGGTGGCGCTATTTCAAAGAGCAACAAAAAACTTACCCAGACATACTCATTGACAAATGTTGGGCACCAGCAGCGTTGTTTTGCACACGAACAGAAGGTACATTGCTGACAGTTGATCATCTGATCAGCCTGGTCGTGCGCTCTGGGAATTCAATGGATTATTCAAAAGCGAAGCGTACGGGGGGTCGCGTCCGACCCCGTCTTTTTGCGGCTGACGCGCACGAATGGCGGCGGGTGAGTTTGTGGCGCGGTGAGCTCTCCTGATCCGGACTGAGCCTGCTGCCGTTGAGCAACCTCATATGCATATGCACACTGCACACTGCACGTTTCTCATTTCTGTGTAACGGCTATCACTCATTCTACCTTTCTGAGCACGTCTCAAGTATTTTCATTGATACTTTTTGGAATTCTTCGAACCTAGGTCGGTATCATGACACTTACACGTGAACAGCCATTTGCATATCAGCATCAAGCGCATAGCTCCACAACTGGAAGTTCACTAACTGTACCACTGTCCAGCTCAATACAGCCTCAGCCTTGCCGACCATCACTGGTATATGACTCCATGTATCCAAAGCAAAGGACAAACGGAAAATGACTAACGGCAGACGCAAGCGAAGTCGTGGACTGGCACTATTCGTTCGACAAACATGAGCGTGGGATGGTTGTGCCACCCTTGCTGGACATCTGGCTCTGAAGCAGATGGGAACAACACCACCCCCGCTTCCACTGCGGGGTATATTTGCTTTGGTGGTTAACCAGAGCGTGTATACCGCTTCCAAGCAACCAATCTTTCCTCAGCCAGACTGTCAAGGTTACATGCAAGTATCTAAACTACAGGACTGCACTGTAACACCACCATTTAGAGGTGCGATAAGGGTGCGTTAGAGCCGCCCACAGTGGCTGACCGCCTGCGATACTTCGACAACCTAACCAGTCGACATAAACACATGTCCACGCTTGGTCGCAGGACTGTGGCTGATCACGTGTGTAGTTGTCACATATATATCTCCCTGAAATCATAACTATCGACTTCAGACTCATTATCTTCTCTCCAACAGACAGCAACTCACTCACCCCGGGAGAAAAGCTTTGCACCATATCTCTGCCACCATACCGTTGATCACGTCCGGCAAGGATACCTCTTTGCTGCAGTTGCAGTACCTCACTAATTCCATCGGCCTCCGGCGGAACTACCTGGATGAGAACGTCGATGAGGCTCCGCAACACGATGAGAGTGTGCTATTCGATGTAGAAGGCCTGATCAAGCCCATCGCTCTGAGATCTGATACTCCAATAGTACGGCCAGATATCGCATGGCATCCTAATTACGAGACATACCTTGCACGTGTAGCTAGGTTGGCTGCATCGTCAGAGAAACGTCCCACCCAAGTACCAGAAGGATTTCCAGCCCAGATCTCGTCACCGCGAGTGTGGTCAGGGGCAGACTTTGCCGACTCAAACACCTATATCGTTCACTTGTCCGATAGCGACATAGCCGAGATCAACAGTGCGCTCGCGAATTTCCACGGTAAGTCCCCTCTACCAGCTTGTCATAAGACCGAAACGAGATACAAGTCTAATCCTTCCAGCACTCGGTGACAATATGGGCCCTGACGATGTGGCAACGGAAACATTCCCTTTACCAAATCTTAGAGAGCGACTACTGCAGGTATCGCGCAACCTCCATCTGGGCACTGGCTTCAACGTCATTCGAGGTCTCAATCCAACAGAATACTCGCCTCTCGATAATGTCCTCATCTATCTCGGTATCACCAGTTACCTTGCCGATATCCGTGGCTGTCAAGACTACGATGGGCGGATGATAGTTCACATCAAAGACATTGAGAAGGAGTTACCTGACGCCACTGGCCGACCGTCGCCATACACAAGCCGTGCACAGGTAAGAGGTGCATGCACTCCAAAATGTATGATGAAAGCTGACTGTCATCGCAAGCCCTTTCATACTGACATGTGTGATATACTGTCCATGTACGTGTTAGATACCGCCGTCTCGGGCGGCGAAAGCTTACTGGCATCGTCTGGGATGATATACAACGAGTTAGCCGCCACTCGTCCCGACATCATCCACGTCCTCTCCGACAACACATGGATACACGACGAGTAGGCGCCACGTCTCTTTATAAAAATACTTCCACTAACACAAGCGCACAGTTTCAACAAAGCCCGTCCAAGCTGGGCATACCGCCAACTCCTCCATAACTTCCCAAAACACGGCCCCAGCTTCCTCTACTCGCGTCGCCCCCTCACCGGCGCCCCCTTCTCGCCCCATCACCCAGACGTCTCAGCCATGTCCGAACGCCAAGCCGAAGCCCTCGACGCCGTGCACTTCACCGCCGTCAAGCACCAGCTCAAAATCGCACTTCAGCCCGGCGACGTCGAGATCTTCAACAACCTCGCCTTGTTCCACGCCCGCGAGGGCTTCACAGACAGTGGACGCCAAGATGCTCGCGACATCGTCGACGACAGTGACAGTTTCAGTCCGACAAAGCGCTCGTTGAATGGAACACGCCACATGCTTCGGCTGTGGCTACGCAGCTCGGATGAGGAGTTGGCGTGGCCCATGCCCAAGGTGCTTGAGAAGAATTCTGAATTGATCTATAGGGATAGCGAGGCGAAGAGGTTGGGAAAATGGGATGTACATCGGGCACCAACTATCAATAGGAAATTGACTAGGCATTTCAAATGCTCGTGAGCGAAACAATCGCATAGCGCTAGCGAGATTTTCCTCGCGTCGTCGCCTCCGCGGTCTTATGGTTCATCACGGGAAAACACATGAGCGCTTTTCTAGCTGTAACGAATCTTTTTTGTTATCATCTATTCATGCAATGTATTGTGCACATCTACATATCCCTCCCAATCTCGCGTCATATTTCTTGATCTATGCCGGTGTTTCCTCCACGATATGCGGGAGACCAGGGTGCCATTCGGGACTGAACAGTTGGTGAGTCCAGTAAAGATCTTTCTCGTAGTAGTGTCTATCCCTTAGCTCTTTGAAGTGCAACTCTGTTGAAAAAGAAAGTGACTTGTTAGTAAATCTGATGCCAGATGGATGTTTTGCGGATGGAAGAATGAGCAGCGCATACCTTTCTCCTTTACGATTTTTTGAAGTTGTTGCATGAAGCGTATTTGATGCTTGTCCAGTTGTGCAAACTTGACCTCTTCTGGCTTTTTCCAGTTTACTTTGAAAGGATCAGACCCGTTGGACCAGAAGTGAAAGCGAGACAGCAGTATCTTGCTTGTGTGAAACCACGCCTCAGCGAGTCTCATGTCGGAATAACGGCGCTGGAGTTCCATGGTCAGCATGCGTTTCGTCTAGATGCGAGATGAACTACTCACATTCATTCCATAACGCTTAGAGAATTTGTTTCCATGCGTACAGGACCACTCAATGTGATTGAGGAGGATGTACATGGTTAGGTAGCAGTCAAACCAGTTTTTTGGAACATGCTGTTTGATCAAATCCTCGAGGGAAAGGATAAGTTTCTGCCTCAGAGGGTCAAGAATGTCTTTTATGACGATCTGATCGAGCTGCACATCCATAATAGGAGTGATTGGAATGAACTTATGCCAGGGGCTGGATGGGTCTTTGACTTTTGAAAGGCCGAGCGTATCTTCACCACATATCGTCCACTCTCGCTCGATGACGCGACAGTATGCCCACATGTCCAGTGCCATACTCACAACAGATTCCTGCAGTGGTCAGATAATACCTAGATCGACTAGTAGGGCCACTTACTGGACGTTTTTCCGCGTAGGCCAGAGCGACCTTCACCGTCAGCTGGGTTATGCTCTCCGTTCCCTCCATTGGTTGAGAAGAACTACTTTCAGCCAGAAGTAGATTGAGGTATCTATCTCTCTCCCGGTGGATATATGTTTTGATGTTCGTACGTACGTCAGGGACCTGGGCGAGACAATATGGTGGCATCTCGTATACGCAGTCCTTGCCATTCTGATCGACCTCGCGGCAATCAACCTTGTCTCCGTCACATACGTCGAACTTTTTGACGTATACCTCAAGCGTAGCACCGGGGATTTGTGTCAGCTGAAGGGTGCGTGGTGCGTCCGGAGCCAAGACTTGCTGGTTCGCCGATGTAATTTCAACGATGCTAACGGTGCGGTTCAAGAAGTGTTGGGGACTAAGATTGCTTGGTCCTAGGTAGATGTTAGTGAGCCTTTCTTTGAGCCATCTCGAAGAAAGACAGATCAAGGCATACCTTTCCTGAAGAAAACAGAATCCACCATTTGAGATACGAAGCAAGGAAGTCTGGGGATATCCTTGTACGTCTGCGTACGATTTTTGCACGAAGTACACTGTTCGTAATCTGACTTGCTGTGCAAATCACACTGGGAATGATTAGTTGGTACCCTCAATCGACCATAATATTGCGTACCTTCTTCTTTTGGCGCTTGCACATGTCACACGCGCCAGTCTTTCGACAGCGAGCTACATCATTCCTGGCTGCAGGATTATAGGGACGTTTCACTTTTCGAGAGGGGGTTCCCAGAATGCTCTCAACTGCTTGCACCTGACCGCTTTTATCGCATTTCACACTTTGGAATATAGGCTATGGTAATCTGTCAATATGATGCAGTATAGTTACCACAGAATCTGGATGACATACATCTTTCCCGGATAGATCCACTATAGAGCCTCTGCGCTTTCGACTGGGCTCTTTCTCGCCAACCATTACGAATTTAAGTTCTGGTTTCTTCTTGGGAACATCTCTAGTCATCGACACATCACGACTTGTGAGAAGATCTAGGCTTACACTGGATCCGACTCTCTCACTTCGTGTTGCAATTGCAGACATGCCTTGGGTATCAGGTGTGGTTATGTAGCCTGGGGATTCATCGCGGAAGTTGGGCATTGTCCAAGAGCTCTTTCGGGAGTTGCTGTTTGAGGCTATGCGATAGATGGGAATCTCGAAGTCTCTACTATTGACCAAATACCACTCTGATGAGGGGCTTGGTATATCCGGTCGGTGATCTGTCTCGACTGTACTCCGAATGGGTAAGTTTGGTGACAATGATGGACCACCTGAGGCGATATAACCTATGGTCAGGTTGCTTGAAGACGATGGAACGGTACGGGAGAGGTTGTAGTATGTACCGGAGGTAGGCGGTGGCATGTCTTGCCCGATTGCGGTGGAGGGTATCCCAGGGATGTCTTGGTTTGTGTTGAACATGTTTTCATAGGGTGCATCCAGATTCGGGACATTCTGTGGGACATACAAAAGGGGTGGATTTGATAAGGGCAGTGACGATGTTTGAGCTACAGCCATCTGCCAGTTATCGGAGGTATCATCTGGGATGGCGGGGTTAGAGTTACCAGAATCAGCAAATTGCGGAAACTGTAACTCACTAAATGTGTACGGTATGTGATTCGCCATGGGACCCAAGGCGTTCCCCCCATCCCCCACTCCGATGCCAGGATAAGAGTCTTCGTAGAGACGTGAGGGATGCTGGTAGACAGAGTTACCATGTCTCGGAAACGAACTGCTTGTTGAAGATACTGCGTCATAAGAGGGATACGTCGTTGGCAGTTCATTGTTGAGTATCATAGACCACATGGTCGAATTTGCTGAGAGTGCTGCATCTTCTATGGATTGCATAGCAGTGGCATAGTCCCAAATGTGATCAGGTGCGGATGGATTCGCATCCGGCCATTGAACAAGACCCCCGCTCTGATGATCTGAACGCCTAGCTATGGTCGTGCCATTGTTGACAGAGATAGTAGTGTCCAACTGAGGCTGTGTCGACCCCAGATCGTAGTGTTCTTCAGGCACGGAATCGTAAGGAGCGTTTGCGGTCTGGAGCCCTGTGTTTGCGTAGTTACCAGACCAGTTGTTCACCTGCCCGTTCGAACTGCAGACGGAATCGTTATTGGGCCATTGCGAAAGATGATGTGGCTGAGAGTTCCTCTCATTGGAACAAGGCTCGTGGGCACTTGTTGGCTCGGCTGCGGTCAGGGATTCTAGTGGTCGAGGCATGCTACCCAGAAGAAGTGTTTGCCGGATACTGTTCGACAACTCTTCGTCCTCTCTGGAAAGGACGAATGACTGTTGAGCATCCGCGCGATTTTCATCTCGACGGAAAAATCCGAGCACTATCACAACCAGGTCAACTGAATCCTCCAGGAAAAACACTGTACCAAGGCTTTGTACGTACCATCTCCAATTTCAGGCACACCAGCCATGAATAATATACCTAGGTGGCATTCAGAGTGGTTTGGGTACCGAAAGCGCGCAGTTGTATGCCGCGAAGTGAACAAGAGAAACAAAAGTCGTCGAGGACTGATGAGGGAGAAACGGGTTTCAAGAGGCCGCCTCAAGGGCTGCCACGGCTGCGTGCAGGCGTGTGAGATCAGATGTCTAGGAAGAATGGGGGACTTGTAGATCTAAGCCTCAGATTTGGAGGACCTTGGAGCTAAGCCTCATCGTCCTCTTCTCTCTGTCACGTGGTAGCCTCGTAGGTCCGATACTCTCGAATCTGAGGGCGGCGGGTACTTGTGAGCAGCCAAATCATAATCAGAGCTATCCACTCCGCTCTTTTTCATGTATTTATGGCATTGGAACACAGGCGTATTGATGGCCATGGCCGAATACCCCTGCCTTGGCAAGCTTCAGTGACTGATATGAATGATCGTTCCTGGAAAAGCTGAGTGACGGGGCTTAGGTAGCGCGGATGCGGATTACGAATACGTGAATAAAGTCAACAGCGATGTAAAGCCTGAGTCTTCGCGGATCATGGTTTCTTTAAGAGAAACGTTACAGCATGGTTGATCATGTACCAACATGTAAGCTTGGTTATGGAGAAAGCCGCTTTCATTCTGCTCGACCAATATCCTAGCCGTAACTGCAACGCTGTGTCGTTTGGGCAATGTGTAATTTGCTCGATGCACAACAGAAGGATTGTGGCTACCTAGGGGTTGGGTAATGGCTTAGGGGTAGATGCATGACCCATTTTGCACTACTAGTCCCATTTCGTCTCGCCGTATTTACGTTTTCGGATAGTGGGGGCTTCGGCCTTGTGCGTCATCATCACTGGAATGCAAGAACAACAGGTTTAGCATCTAGCCCCCAGTGAGCCCATATCTCATACCGTTTCTAGCTGACCGTATTTCTGTTATCAGAAGGTCCTACCGGGATATCGACCTTTGATTACGCTTTGTGAGCACATCAACATTTGCCGTCACTCAGAGCACAAGCATGCCGCACGTGAAGGCTGTCCAGGCGCATTACGGTGAGAGGTGCATGAACTCAAAAGGCAGAGGAAGTCAATCAGTAAATATCACATTGAAACATTAGTTCCCCAGGCATCAAACCGCGACTGAGCATGCCTCTTGAAGTTGTTTTCCGCGCCGCTACTCCCCACGATGTCGATAGCATAGTGTCGGTAGTCCTTAAGGCTATGCCGTTTGATCCGCAATTCGATTACAGATTCGTGTACAAGAAGCAGTTCCCAGAGGATCATTACAAGTATACCAGGATACTCTATGAAGAGTTCATTTCTCCGATAAATGATGACTGGTTGGTAATGGTGGCGGAGGTTCCGGCCTCACCCGCTTCGAAGCCAGCAACGATAGTGGGCTTCGCAGTCTGGGACGTCTCTTATATCAACAAGGCAAAATATGGACACAGCTATGAACCACAGAACCGTATGTAAAACTCATCTCTACTAGAATGTGTAGTTACTAACCAGACTAGCGACACTGGCCGTCGCGCGAAAAGGGGGCGCTCAGCGGCGGGACGTAGCGCCACACCGTCAGGCTGCTTTCAAGGCAGGCTGCACCGAGGAAGAAGCGAAACTCGAAGAGCTGTGGGGAGATAGGCAACTGCATCTGCAAATCCTTGGAGTACATCCGCGTTATCGCAGAAAACATGTCGGTTCACGACTTGTAAAGTGGGGATTACAAAAGGGCTGTGAAGATGGTGTGCCTGTGACTCTCATCGCAGGTGAGTTCGGACTCTCACTTTACAAAACCTTGGGATTTCAGGAATTCGGAACTTTCGTCACGCAGGCTCAGGGCGAAGATCTCAAGATACATTCGTGGGGAATGGTATTTGAAAAGAGCAGATAAACTTCTGCAGATACCGGCACTTCATCGAGATGACGATGCCACTCGTGCTTCTCGAAGATGGTTGAATCATTGTGCTCTAACATCTCGTGTATTCCGTTTCCATGTGATGTGAGTATCGTATCGATTCTAATCTGATAGAGGCTGACCGTGTTTCCCAAAATAGGCAAGCGTGTCAGCGCTAAAATCATGAGGCGGCTGCGCAGAGGCGTGGTAGTGTACACTGGCGAGCTATTCCATTAACATCTCGCCGATATTCAGATACGTCTCGCCGGAATTCAAATACTTCTCGCCGGAATTCAGATGCGTCTCTCCGATTTTACAAAAAGGCAGAGCGTGAATTGAACTTAGGCGGCCTGTTTTCAGAAATAGAAAAGTTACCTCTAGTAAAGCTTTCAGTCCCGCCAACGCACAAACTCCAGACGATGTGTCTATTGAAGCCGTGGCAACTTTGTACCTATAATGCCGTCATATAAAACGAAGTTCAATGCCGCCGACGTACAGTTAACAAACGCATCTCATAATCCACACCGCGCTCAGACGTAACCCTCAGCGTCTCAAGTCAGCCAATCGAATGCAAAGCTGAAGACAAAATGAACGGGTCTTATCCAATTCATACTCCCTACACGGGTACTTCAAATTTATCCACTAGACATTTGGACGCCAGGAACGATAGGTGAGTGAAATTAGTCCTTCGATCAAATCGAGCTAACAAAGTTACAAAAGCCGCCCGACTTCACAGACGACCACACTCTGTGGCTCAGCTTCCCATGCTAGCTTTTCAACAAAGTAAGCTGCCTTCGCATCGCCGCTACCGAACAATGTTCTGACCAGTCTCAAGCGGTTCAACAAGAGTGAACTCCACCTCCGACACGGCACGAAACAATTCACACAGTGGAAGATCCAGCATGCTTCCACAGGGTAATCAAGCGGGAGGATCCGGCCCAAATCCTACGATGATGTGGGCTGCATCTAGGAACGACCCTTGGAGCAGCCAGAACCTACGAAAAACCGCGAAAGAACCGGAGTCGAAAGGTTCCAACGCGACCTCATCTGGGCACGACCAAAAGGCTGGATCTGAGTATGCTCCGCAACAGATTAGCGATGAGGATTGGGTTGCAGTTGGGTATCGCAAGTAATTCAAAGGATACAAGAAAGAAGCGAGATAGTCCGAGTTTCATTGGAAGTGACTATTAGGATTAGATAATGAGTCATACGTTTATGATCTGTGCTTCTCTCCCTTCCTCTTTTATTTCTTGCTAATATCTACCTAACCTACCTGAAATGCTCATCTGATCAATAGGAATTTGAGCGAGACACTTGAATAAGAGAGAATATTTGGAATTATTACTCTTAGCCCTTTATGAGTACAGTCCAGCAGAACCATTTCTCCCTTATTTTTACACACATACTAACACAACACTCAACTGGGGTTCTTTTTGGAGTAAAATATAGAGAGTAGATTCGTCAAAAGATTTCTATTGTCAAGACTATCCTTTACCACCCATCTCTGTTCATAGCAATCCATTTATGAAGTTTAGTATCTTATTTTGTAGCCTAAATAAACTAGATCTGAGACTAAAGGCTCGTGCTTGATACGTAGGGAGCGAGAGACCCTGACGGCGATCGAGACGGCGCTAAGCGAAAGTTATTCCGAGGTTTAGTGGCACTGCTCGAAGAGCGTGTTCTAGAGATGCTGATTCAATACACGTCTTATTGCGGTAACGTAATAAGACATCCACATGCAACTGCAAAAGCACATATACTTGTGGTAATGCGAGGCTAATGCACGGACATGGGCAGTCGATTTCAGCCATGAATTTTGTATCTAATCTAGATCAAATCTAAACCTAGGAAATTTCTATACGAAGCTCGTTGCGAATCTCATTCGCTAACTCAAGGAGATGTGGTCGATTTTGTCTGGAGAATATGTGCAAGTAAGCTACGAAGCTGTTTGCTCCAGTAGACTGATGGCGCAATTGATCGCCCTTTTTCGCAAAGGTGCGATGCTGAGACACATGCTTGGCCAGGTCTGGGCGCCGCTGTAATAGCTCTTCCGTGATGTTACCAGACTCCCAGATGCCCTTCTTTGGTGGGTCCCAGTCGGCAATGATCCACACTTTATCGGCGTAGTATTGGGCTCCATCGCGATACGGCTGCGAAAGCGCGTGTACCCATGCTGAGGAGTCGCGAAGCTTTGTGACGAGCAAGAGAGCCCAATAGTCGACGCCCCACGTAGTCTCGATGAAGTCGCAAGTGTCGCCGCCTGGAGGCCGGGTGTTGATCTCGATGAGCCATGACTCTGCGGGCTTACCATTGTGATCTTGACGCGGCTCAAGGGAAGGGATGCCTTGTGAATTGAATCGCCATTCAACCACGGAGTTTTCAATGCGAGCCTCGCAGTGGTAGATGCCGTTGCGGAAACCGAGGCGAGTCATGGATTGCAGGACGGCGTCGTATATAGTTTGTTGTTCGGCTTTAGGGAGTTGAGATGGGAAGAGATAGTCTAGCTCGCCAAACGAGGTCGAGCCGCCATCGGCGTTTTTGGGAGTCTCATCACCAATATCTACACTTGATCAGCTTGTGTCGGGAGAAGGAAATAAGGATGACAGCATACCCCAGAAACAGACTTGGCCATCATACAAGACGAAGTTGATATCAACTTCAGGACCACTGCAGTAATGCTCCATGACAAATTGGGCGCCGTGGCTATCGGATTTCATGCGGGGAGCGGCCTGTTCCAGCTGTTCTATATTGTCCACCTTGAACACCAGTTCCGACGCCCATCCACGACACGGCTTTATGATGAGCGGCCACGGCAGGGTCTCGGTCCTCGCGATATGCAGAGCCTCGTCCACACTTGATGCAGTGTAGGACTTGCGACCTTCGGCGAGACTGGTCTTGAATTTGTCCGTCGCAACCTCGTAGGCAGACAAGGGCTCGTGGGACAAGCCAAGCTGTTGTGCGGCAGTCGCGACAGGGACATGGTAGCTCTCATACGCTGTGAGGAGCCCGTCTGCCGATCTGCCCGAGTCTTGCTCATATTGCTTGACCGCGGAAACGATTCTCGTGTGGAACTCGGCATCATAGCCGCATTGGACGGGAACGAAGTCGTGACACCAATTCGCGAATTCGGGTTTCTGCTTGAGAACATGACCCTCCTCTGCGAGGACGACGAGATCGATACCCAGAGACTTGGCCGTTTCATAGAGTTGCCATGAGCAAGCACCGCCAAAGGGAAAGCCGAGCCCGCCCTCGACCATGAACAGCAGCCGCCGCTTCAGGCCGGTGAGCAGGAGCGGCACATTCAGGCGGTTCTCCAGCTCGCGTTCAAGTGCTGTCCAGGCGTCGGCGATGGTGGTCCCCTCTGACAGCGGGCTTAGACGAATAGCGCCCGCGGCGGTGCGGAAGAGGGTCGACAGAGAGGTGGTTGCTGTCCACGATTCGTCCGTATACAGTTGCAAAGGCTCTGCGAGCGCCGCCGTCGCCTCGACATTGTTAACATCGTGCATGCGCTTGGGCACAATGTCGGCGCGCACGATGTTGCCATGTCCTCGCGGGACGATCAACGTGATGGCTTGGGGAGCGTGCGTGGTGGTGGTGCGCTGAAGGGTGTCGATGAGAAAGCTAAGACTTCGACATCCAATTACACTTTCCGCCAGCGCATCTCTCTCGGCTGTACCCGTCTGTTCCGGATCCGCATCTTCGAGGGAAATGAGACTACCACGCTCGACAACGTCTACGACAAGCTCGCCAGCCGCGCCAGGGTTGGCTACGGCCTCAATCGTGAGATTCGCCGATTGGTAGAATTGCGACTGATGGGCGGCGATACTCCATGTGATCTTCCACCCCCTCTCCCGCTCCCCATGGGAGCCCCCTTCCTCTCGATAGATAATCTGCGCAGTCCTACTCATGGTGGTGAATCGGTTTGGTGGGAGATTGAGTAGACGGATTCGGTAGCGGGGGGAAATGCAAACTATAAAAGTCTTGCTGCCGACCATGAGCTGGCCGAAGCTTGTGTGACATGTCGACGGAGCACAGTCAGCCGGCACAGTCAGAAACGATTCCAGCCCCAGTAAGACTTACACCACAAACATTACTACAGGATAACGGGGACGGCATCGCTACGCGGCGTCGTCCTCCGTTCCATTTAGTTCGACTCACAATCCGCAGTAGCATACACGAGACCATATAGGAGAAGCGTGTACCAAAGAAACCTTAGCTACGACCAGTCCTTGCGCTGCACCATGTCGTGTCTGATCGTCCTCCAAAGCGCAGATGGTTCCAAGGCATCGTGGCAGACATCGTGGACGGTGCTGCCCGTGACGAAGGCCGACCAGTCCTTCCAGTCTGCCGATGTGCAATTCTTGCCCTTATCAGCTCCCGCCAACTTCACCTTATCCGACCACCCTTTTCATTGTTACATAGAGGACCCCGGTCATGGCCGACTGGAACTTCAATCGGGTACATTGGGCCATCCCCACGCCCTGGATTTTCTGGTCGATACTCTAAAAGCCACGACTCAATCGGCCAGCCAGACAGCAATCAAATTGGTCGCTCCAGCACACGCAGGCAATATCGCCCGAGCCGACATCGTGCGTCAGCGGATGCAGGACATTGAATATGTCGACGTCGTGGTCACTTTGGCCCAGCCCCTTCAGGAGTACGATGGAAAACCCTTCTCCGACACTGATGATCTGGTCACTCTGATAAAGCACGCTGTCGGAGCCATACGCCTGCGTACCAATTCCCCCTTTTCTCCTCCTGGAAGGGTATTGGACACCCTTTCCGACCTCGAAAGCGAATTGTTCAATCGATTACCAAGCCGTTTGACTATTCCTGGCCTCCGCAGACGCACTTTGGCAGTCTTAGAAGGTAGCGAGATGCTTCCAGACACGGGTGGTTGCGCAACACAATTCTACACTGCCGCAATGTCATTGGGTGTCGATGTCATAGTGCTTGCTGTCGAAGGTCATTGGCTACAAGGTCCGCAGTATAGCCACTGGCGGAAGGCTTTCATTCCTGTCGAATTTGGCCATGACGCAGCCTTCCCATCAAGAATTGTCGCAGCTGTCAAGAGCTCGGGTGAGCCAGTCGAGGCTCTGCTCACCTGCTTTGATAGTTACCATACTGCCGTGAGTCAGGCTGCTGCCGAGCTGGGTCTTCCCCACGAGCCTACCGCTGCCTACCAAGTTGCCACGGACAAGTACCAGCTGAGTGCCATCGAGGGCCGGAAATGCTTCCTTGCCACTGGAATCGAGGATCTGATCCAAACCGCACTGACGAAAGACGTTACGTGGCCTGCCATCGTCAAACCCTGTCGCGGTTGGGGCTCTGAGTTGGTCTTTCGTGCCGACAGCGCTGCCCAACTTGTGGCGTGGGCCAAAACGATCAATCCTGCTACGAGTCACGGAGCACAGTTTGTAATTGAACCATACTGTGATGGCCCAGAAGTGGACATCAATTTCGTCCTATACAATGGCGAACTTCTCTTTTGGGGTAAGGCTACCTCACTCCTCTTCCAGTCGCAAAGCATGCAAGGCTCACATTAAACAGAGATTGGAGACGAGAATCCAAAAAGCGCCGAGGATGGGTCCGATTCATTCCACGAACTCGACTGTGTCTCACCTTCAGCACTTCCCGAGAAAGAGCAGCATGTCTTGCGTGATTCAATTTTGAAGACTTTGCTGGGGTTGGGTTTCCAACATGGTATATACCACTGCGAAGCTCGAGTCGCTGACTCCACCCAAGAATGGCACAAGAACGAATCTGGCGCACCCGTGCTGCTACCTCGCTGCGAGCCAACCACGAAGCCACCCTCCTGCTTCCTCATGGACTGTAACATCCGGCCGCCAGGTCTGAATTCGAGCGATGTGGTCGAGACCACCTGGGGTGTAGACTACTGGGCTTTGCTAATTGCCATACCACTGCGCGAGGAACAGCGGGTCCGGGCTTTGTCGCAGCCATATCGCAACGGCCCACAGTACTTTGCGGACATGATATTTGTCTCTGCCGTGTTTGATGCCTCCAAGCAAGGCATTTGGCAATCCGGAAATGTGACAGAGGAACTAAAAGAACGGCGTCCAGATCTGGGCAAGTATATCTCAAAGGCCTTGACTTATAAGAAGAAGGGAGATAGAATCCCTCATCCTTCTACAGGTACGAATACATTTGTCGCTTACTTGAATATCTTCTCCCGCGAGAGCCGAGAGCATGTTTTGGATGTTGCGACTCAGGTGAGGAGAGAGATTAGCAATAGCATAGAGATATCCTAGACTTTGAACCATGCGCAGCTTTTATTAAGTGAGCATTCTACTTAGTTTTCTATTTACAATTATGAAAATGATATCACTTGTTACTTTTTTCGTTTCTATCTACTTCTTATGCAATGTATAAAATTAGGTATGAGGTAATATTACTTTATAGTTCACGCCAACGCTGTTAGTTGGAATGCTCATACAATAACTTACGAGTATTATGTAAAATGAATATCTAATTAGAAACGTCTAATTATAAGATATTTCGCAGTGATGTGTAAGATATGATAACCACAGTGTATCAAGGCCAATGCTAAAGAGGCTGCCTAAGGCTCAGACGAGACGATTTACTCTATACGCGTGATCGTGGCTGTACTGCCCCGAAGGGTGTCCAGTGGATGCCTAAAGGTCAGGCCTCCGATTCAGAGTACCATGACACTTGTGGAGATTCTCAGGGTCCATCACGTTAGGAGACGCTATCCGCATAGGGAATTCCGAGCATATCTGCACGGTTAATTAACGTAGAGTTGCTCAGAGGGCAGCAGATCACGTTCTTCGGTCTACGAAACTGGAAGATCCCTACCGGGATCGACCAAGGTATGCAGCTAAAGCTGCAACAATTAGCAGTGTGAGACGTTATGCTGTACGGAGGTGCCTTTCAAAAGTTCTGTCTGACGCTAATTTCGGCGCTTCGGCGTACTGCGTGTGGTCAGTGCGTGCAACAGTTCAGCCAATACAACACTATCTGCCCAATTAAAATATCTACCTACTATTTTTAATACGTAATATCTCTACTACTATAATAGCTATTAAGAAAGTAATTATAGTAATTAATTTATAAAATATAAAAAGTTAACTTTTATACTATATAGCTATAAAAAAGCTTAGTATTAAGATTTTAATATTAACGCGCTAGTCTACTATAATAGCTACTAGGAAAGTAATTATAGTTATTAATTTATAAGATATAGAAGGTTAACTTTTATACTATATAGCTAGAAAAAAGTTTAGTATTAAGATTTTAATATTAACGCGCTAGTACTAAAA